ATATATATATATATATGTGTGTGTGTGTGCAATAATACACATATATGTCTGTATACCTATATACACATGTGTATGTATGTGTAAATGTGTGTTAAAAGTGTGTTACCTACATAAATATATACATACCCATATGTATGTGCCCCTTGAGAATAAAGACTATATCACTTTTGTCTTCATATCCCCAGTGCTTAGTATAGTGTCTGGTACACAGTGCTTACTCAATGTTTGTTGATTGATTATTTGATTTAAAAGACCATTTGGAAGCATATTTAATCAAGGTAGGTGGCAAGTCACTTAACCCTGTTTGCCTCAATTCCTCATCTGTAAAATGAAATGGAGGAGGAAATGGCAAACCACTCCAATACCTTTGCCAAGAAAACCCCAAATGGGGTTGCAACTGAAAAATGACTGAATGACAAATTTTGTGGTTTCCATTTTCCACACACTGGTCTCCTTACCCTAACAGGAATCTAGTGTATTCAAAGTGTGGTGTTTGTCATATCTTTAACAGCTGCAGCAGTGACTGAGAACCCTGACCTTTGACCTTGGATAGCAAAAGGAAGGAGAAAGAGGAAGATATCATTGAATTTCCAACAAAATATCTGAGTTGTGTTTGTTTTTCAACTGTAAAACTTTCTTAGCTATTTAACTCAGTAGTACATAAATAATCTCATTGACAAAATCTTAGACGTCTTACTGGTTATTAAGGCTATAGCACAACTTTTCCCAAAAAAGAAAGTCTACATCTTTGGAAAAGTTCTATACTAACTGATGCTATTAATAATTAATTAAAAGAACAGAATTACTTACTTCTTCGCACTCAATTATAATCATCAGGAATGTTTTACAAAAGGATAGAACTATAAGAGACCTGGATCTAGATGATCTCTATTCAATTATAAGTCCAACAAATTCATTAGATAGATCAAAAAACTGAGACCCCGTAAGATTGAGTTGCCCCAAGATCACATAGCTACTAGCAGGAGGGCAAAAATGAGAACCCAAATTTCCTGACTCCTACTCTACCACCAGTCTGTTCACACTTTCAAGCTGTTTACTATGGCTTTGTTTGAAATCATGCCATGTTTTTCTAAGCTGCTGTGGCATTTACTGGCCCTGAATAAGTGTCAGCTATGGTTAGCATCCACTGTGTTCCTATAAAAAGTAATGTCTCAACTTATCTCTGTCTCTGTATCAGTCAGTTCTCATCCTTAATCCCTGATCTGAGCTGGTTGGCTCTGCTAAGGAAACAGTGTCCCCAGCTGACCACACACCCTACAGGACTAATGAGGTTCCACAACAGAATCCTGGTGCCAGGGGTGATCAACAAAACATCCCTCTCCTGGGGCCAATGGCTGGAGCTCGTCTTTGACCTTAGACATGGCACGGGCAATTCATAAAGAAATGGGCAAAATGCCAACTAGCACCTCAGTCTGGTCCAGCACAGCACTGAGTTACAATTCTCCTCCTACACTAGAAAAACCTAGTGAACTGGGAGGCCAGAAATATAGAGTTGAAAACAAGTAGGAAATTGGACTGGAAATTTTAGTATCTAGGAAAATGGCACCTAACTAACCAGATCGTGGTAAGCATTTTAAATCATTGGGTACTCAAGCTCTCCAATATAACCCCTTCTCTCCTCTGACACTGCCACCACCCTGGTACAGACCCTTAAAACCTCAGCTGGGACTATCATAATAGCATGCTGATTGGTCTGCCTGACACGAGTTTCTCCCCAGTCCAGTCCATCCTCCACTCAGTCAACAAAATGATTTTCTTAAAGCAAAGGTCTGACCATGTTCCACCACTCCCCCTACTAAATAAACTCTGGGGGTTTCATTATCACCTCCAGGATAAAATACAAAATCCTGTTTGGCACTCAAAGCCCTTTGTATTCTAGCCCCTTCTTCCACCTTTCCAGTTTTCTTACACTTACACCATCATCCCTAAGTCTTCCATCCAGTCACTCTGGTCTCCTTGCTGTCCCACAAATAAGACAAAGACACTCCACTTCTCCATTTTCTCTGGCTATCTCCCAGGCCTAGAATGCTTCCCCATCTCATCTCTGCCTCCTGGCTTCCTCGGCTTCCTTCAAATCCCAATTAAATCCCACCTTCTACAGAAAGCCTTTCTCAATCCCTCTTAATTTTTGTGCCTTCCTTCCATTAATTATTTCCTGTTTATCAAGTACACAGCTTATTTGTACATATTAGTTTGCAATTGTTTCTCAAGTTAGATTGTGGGCTCCTTATAGGCAGGGACTATCTTTTACCTTTCTTTGTATCCCCAGTACTTAGCACAATTCCAGGCACATAGAAGGCACTTAATAAGTGCTTGTTGACTAACTGATTAGTGCTGTCTCCCAAAACTATTTTCTATTAATTTTGCATATATTCTGCATATCCTATATAAATGCAGGTTGTCTTTCCTGATATAATTGTAATGTGAAAACAAAAATTGCTTCATTTTTGCCTTTTTATTCCTAGTGCCAAGCACAGTGCCTAGCACATAGTGGGGGGGGGGGAAGGACAAGGAGAGGGAAACAAGCATTTATTGAGCACCTACTATATGCCAGGTACTATACTAAGGTTTTATAGATATTAGGTCATCTGACAGTAGGCACTTAATAAATTCTTGTTAATTAACTGATAGATTCAAATTCTGCCCTTCACTATGTAAGACACGACTCATAACCTCTATGAGCTTCAGTGTCCTCATCTATTATAGTACCTACCCTTCCCAGAGGTATTATAAGGAACAAAAAAGATAATATATGCACTATATAAATGTCAGCTATCATTTATGTATTAGGGTGAGGTTTTAATCCCACCTCAGTTAATATCCTCATCAAATCAATCACCCAAAGGCATAAACTAGATGTGAATGAGTCCCTAAACAATTTGAAAGTCACACAGGAAACATGTTGTGGTTGGATGAAAAAAATCAGAATCATCTCAAGGCCTATGTTTAAAATGTTTGGGACCACACAGTCTGGCAATCTAGTAATGGAGAAGCTTCAGTCTGAGAGGGAATCACTTGTGGGGGCAGAGGGAGAAAGAAAGAGAGAAACTAAGAGGGCACCAAGTACAGCTGACCCCTGCATCACCACCACCATACATAAAGGAATGACAACAGCCCCCATTCCTCACCTACACCCAGACTAATCAGTCCTCATAGCCTACTATTTCTTGATCCTCAAAATCAACCTCATAAGCCGCTAGATATTGTAGATTTTAACTCAGAGGGACTTTGGAGCACGTGCAAACTGGACGGACTTTCCTTGCCCAGAGAGAACAGGTGCCTTCGCAATCCTCCATCCAAACCATGACAATATGAAAACCAGATCGTGTTCTTCTGTTTGTGTAATACCCCTGCAGTTTTTTAGAAGCTAATGGACTTAGCATTTCAAGACTTGCTGGACCAGAGAATGGTGGTTTATCTCAACGACATCCTCATCTATCTCCTGAATTCTACCTCACCTACCAATTGATGCAGACCACCACCATCCCGTCCTACACTAGTACCAGTGATTTACCATGTTGGGGAAAAGATAATTCCAGAAGAAGAGAGAAATATTGAGTTGAAGGGAGTATGAAAAGGAATCTCCTTAAGACAAAGACCATACTATATAATGAGCATTCCGCTTCATGGCCATTCCCCATAGCAGGGTTATAGATCTTAAGAAGCAGGGCTTCTTAAACTTTTTCACCCCTCATGGCCTTTTGGCAGTGTTTGTTGGTGTTACTTGGCCTGAGGGCATGCTCAGTGCAAAATGCACATGCTTTGTGTTCAGAACCAAGATTCAATAGTGGCAGTGGGAAACACCTCGGATTCGTTACAAACTTGATTTTTAATTAATTTTTGGTCGTTGCACATCCAGGAACCTTTTACTGTTGCCAAATTTTTTGCAACTCCCACAGTTTAAGAAGAGCTGAATAGCATTTCCTTGGTTTCATGAGATATTGTCTGATTTTCCACACTGACTGCAACTCTCACCAACCTGTTCAAACACTTCCAAGTATTACAATGGGGACCAGAGGCAGAAATCTACAGTGACCCATTGATCTGAAAGGAATCTCAGGGGTCATTTAGTACAATCCCTTCATTTTATAGAGGAGCAGACTGAGAAGGCAAAGTAGCTTACCCAAGGTTGCACAGATAATAATCATCAGAAGTGGGATTTGAACTCACATCTGTCCCCCTAAACCTAATTTTGCTCCCGATTTCACTATTTCTGTCATTGCAGCGTCACCACCATTGTTGCTTCATCTCTATTGTTTGAAAGCGCTTTAGCTTTTCTCCCTCTCCTCTAACATCCAAGAGTTATCAAGTTACCATTCTACTTCAACATCTCTTGCATCTCTCCCTGCCTCTCTATTCCCACGATCACTATAATTCTCCAGACCATTATTGCTTCTCACCTCAACTGCTTTGATAACCCCTTAATAACTGCTACTTATTTCTTTCCTCAATCGCTTATTCATTCAGCTCTCAGAAAAAGAAAAAAAACTTTGCTATGCCTGGATATAGTCATGTGATTCCTGTTCAACTACCCTGCCCCATCAGTAGAAAGTACCTGTAAGGTTTTCAAGGGTTCAGCAGGTAAGCTCCTCTCCCCTTTCCCAAAGGATCAAGGAATCTGTACCTTCTCTCTGTACTGCTAGGGAGCCCTCTAAGGCTTTGTGCTGAAAGGACAACAACCAGATTTCTTTGAAGAAATTCAAAACCCCAAAGAGTCAGAGTTGGGGGAAAGGCCAAGTTCTGGTTCTTTCACTGACCTGTGCTTATAGTAACCCCACCTCCTAAGTTGTACATATTACTTGGAGGATAGATACATGAACCTACATCCAAGTCAAAAATTGTTATCCTGGTGTTAACATTCACATAAGCTAGCATATTATGATCTCATGATTCTAAAAGGAAAAAAAAAACAAGCAAAACTGATGGGCATGATTCAAAAAACACTTTATTTCCCTGATGAATTAAGCTTTAAAAGTTTATTTTGATACTCTCATGTATTTAGGTAAGTGATTTATACAGACAGTACTTGATTTCTGTATATAACACTTGATAAAATTCAGTCAAGCAACATCTGAACTATCAGGTGATAACTACAATAACAATTAGCTTTGGTGGTGTTAATAAGGAAAAGAGGGAAGATTTCTAAACCATGTCTTTGAACTCTTTTGCCTTAGATCAACATCACTAAACTACCAGTTGCAAAGGAAAAATTGGAAGGAAAACAAAGGAATAAGAAAAAGGGAACCTTGGATAACAAAGCATACTGTAAATAATTCCTGGTGCATCGAGTTACTCCCTTCTTCAATTAAAAGAAAAAGTTTGTCCTTGAACTTGCAGAAGTAAACCTTTGTAACAACTCAAATATAAGCTGAGCAGCAATCTTTATTGTTTGTAGCAAGACATTATAGCTACTTTTAAAAAAAAATACAGTAAATTCATTACAGAAACCAAAAATTGGTGGTCCTTTGTTTTCATTTTGATCATTGAAAAATTTGTTTCACTACCTATTGATTGGATCCTTCATCTTTTTTGGAGGAGGGTAAGGATGGAGTGAAAGGGCTGACATGATTTGTCTCCACTTGTTCAGGATACCAGGTCTTCTCTAGTTTTACAGTCACAGATAAGTGGAGTTGGGGATTGACGTGCCCATAGTCACACAGCTGTACGTATCATAGGCATGATTTGAAATCTTCCCAACTCGAAGGCCAGCCCTCTCTCTCTATACATCCATCATACCACATTACCTATCTTGTTCTACCTTATCCACAATAGTGCAAGGGGATATGGGAATTAATAAATTGCTCAACAAAAGTGGCTTTTGTTTGATATGGGGTATTATGAATAGCGTTACTATTGAAACATCCTAATTATCCATGTAAAATAAAAGCACAAAAGAAGAAAACAACTTAATAGCTCATCTAGCCCAATTCTTCCAGGACTTCACCCAATTGATTATTTCACTCACACCCAAAATGATAAGATTTCCATAGCACACTGTTTTCTTGCGGTTTTGTTGTTGTTTGTTTGTTTGTTTTTTAGCAAGGCAGTTGGGGTTAAGTGACTAGCCCAGGGACGCACAGCTAGTAAGGATCAAGGGTCTGAGGTCGGATTTGGACTCAGGTCCTTCTGACTCCAGAGCCGGTGTCCTATCCACTACCCACTGTGGCACCTAGCTGCTCCTTGCAGTTTTTTATCTTAATGATTCTTCTCCATTTACTACAAACATTTGTGCAGTGTTTTTCTTATGCAATACTTTACCAAAGCATAAACATTTAGTTCCTTTAAAGTTTTCCTAGTAATTTCTCTGACTCTTATCATGAGATCTCTCTAATTTGTTTGTACATTTTTAGGATAAACAACCTGATTAAGAAGAATTGCTTTTTTTTTTATCTTCACAAACAAGGAGGTTCTAGGAAGAAACTGTGAATTTTAAAGAAAAATTTCTTTCATAATTAAAATTAATCAAAAAGTATGGGGAAAATGATCTTTCTCCATCTCCCTGACCCACCTATACACAGAGACATACCAAAAGATATTGAGGATCATGAAAAATTCCTTAAGCATTATTTTTGGTTTCTGATTGTACAAATAAAAAAACAAACATATACACTCATTGTAAATATTTAATTCTACAAAAGCCCAATTATGATGCGTCATTTTTGAGGCAGCAGTTTTCACAGTAGCAAAGAATTGAAAACAAAGAAGGTACCCATCTGTTGTGGAATGGCTAAACACACAGTTAGATGAATGTAATAGAAGGTCATTGTAAGAAATAACAAATATGAAGAATTCAGATAAAATTGGGAACACTTGTATGAATTGATGCAGAGTAATGTAAGCAGAATCAGGAAAACCATTTACGTGAGGATGGCAATGTAAAGGAAAACAACATTAAAAGAATTCAGATTCTCAATTCAGTGACCAACCATAAAGCATGTCTCAGTAGGGAGAGAGAAGAGAGGGAGAGAGAGGCAGAGAGAGGGAGAGAGAGAGGAGAGAGAGAGGAGAGGGAGAGAGAGAGAGGGAGAGGGAGAGAGAATAACAAGAACAAGAAGAATGAGGAAGAGGAAGGAAAGAAGGAAGGGAGTAAGGAAGGAAAGAAGGGAAAAGCATTAATAAAACATTTTAAATAACTGCAAAAATAGACATAAAGGCAATGTAATGGGGGGTGGAGCCAAGAAGACGGAGGGAAAGCAGTGACTTGCTTGAGCTCTCTCCCCAAACCCTTCCAAATACCTATAAAAAATGGCTCTAAACAAATTCTAAAGCAGCAGAACCCACAAAAAGACACAGTGAAACAAATTTCCAGCCAAAGACAGCCTGGATAATTGATCGGAAAGGTGTATTGGGCCGGGCTGGGAGAGGAGCGCAGTTCGGGGTGGGCTCGCAGGCCACAGCAACCCTGGAGCAGGCCTCAGAGGACTGAAGCATGCGCAGCTGTGGCAGTTGCCAAAGACAACTTGGAAGGTCAGTGGGAAAAGTCTGTAACTGGGGTGAGAGAGGAGCTAGGTCTCAGCCACAAGTCTCGAGCGCGGCCCAGGGCTGTGGCTGTTCCCTGAGCTTCCAGCCCACAGACTGAGGGGGAATCAAGTGGCTGATCAGAGAGGAAATGCAGGGTTCTCTTTGCCAGTGCTGAGGCAGGAATATCTTGCTTTACTGGTGCTTGGATCTGGGGCACAGTCCTGAGGGGCGATTCTGGGGCGAGGAGGAATGCTGGTGTGGTGAAGCTTGTTGTGGCAGTGGAGAGAAAACACCTCGTCCCTTATCACAGCACCTTGGAAGAACTGAAAATTTTCATGTCCCTAGAAGTATCTCTGAAAACAGCTGTACAAACCCCCAAAGCTTGGGATAGTACATTTTCCACATTGGAAGCAGACTTTTACCTTAACAAAGAGTTTAAAACCCAAGTAATTGGCTGGGATCATGAGCAAGCAGCACAAAAAGAGTCAGACTATATTATCTTACTTTGGTGGCAAAGAAGACCAAAATATACAACCAGAAGAAGACAACAAAGCCAAAGCTCCTACATTCAAAGCCTCCAAGAAAAATATGAATCAGTCCCAGGCCTTGGAAGAGCTCAAAAAGGATTTTGAGAAGCAAGTAAGAGAAATAGAGGAAAAACTGAAAGTGATGCAAGAAAATCATGAAAAACACGTCAACAGCTTGCTAAAGGAGATCCAAAAGAATACTGAAGAAAATAACACCTTAAATAATAGCCTAACCCAAATGGCAAAAGAGGTCCAAAAAGCTGATGAGGAGAAGAATGTCCTAAAAAGCAAAATTGAACAAATGGAAAAGGAAGTCCAAAAGCTTACTGAGGAAAATACTTCCTTGAAAATTAGAATAGAGCAATTGGAAGCTAGTGACTTTATGAGAAATCAAGACACTGTAAAACAAATCCAAAAGAATGAAAAATTAGAAAACAATGTGAAATATCTCATTGGAAAAACAACTGACCTGGAAAATAGATCCAGGAGAGAGAATTTATAAACTATTGGACTATCTGAAAGCCATGATCAAAAAAAGAGCCTAGATATCATCTTTCAAGAAATTATCCAGAAAAACTGCCCTGATATTTTAGAACCAGAGGGAAAAACAGAAATTAAAAGAATCCACCAATCTCCTCCTGAAAGAGATCCCCAAAGGAAAACTCTTAGGAATGTTGTAGCCAAATTCCAGAGTTCCCAGGTCAAAGAGAAAATATTACAAGCAGCCAGGAAGAAACAATTCAAGTATTGTGGAAACACAATCAAGATAACACAAGATTTGGCTGCTTCTACATTAAGGGACCACAGGGCATGGAATATAATATTCCAGAGGGCAAAGGAGATAAGATTACAACCAAGAATCACCTACCCAGCAAAACTGAGTATAATCCTGCAAGGGAAAAAATGGTCATTCGGTGAAATAGAGGACTTTCAAGCATTCTTGATGAAAAGACCAGAGCTGAATAGAAAATTTGATCTTCAAATACAGGACTCAAGTGGAACATGAAGAGGTAAACAGGAAAGAGAAAATCATAAGAGACTTATTAAGGTGGAACTGTTTACATTCCTGCATGGAAAGATAATATTTGTAACTCATGAGACCTTTGTCAGTATTAGGGTAGTTGGAGGGGAAAAATTATATGTACATATATATAGATATAGATAGATAGATATAGATAGAGGGCACAGGGTGAGTTGAAGATGAAGGGGTTATATCTGGAGAATAAAATTAAGGGGTGAGAGAGGATTATACTAAGAGAAGGAGAAAGGGAAAGGTAGAATGAGGTAAATTATCTCACAAAAAAAAACAGAAAAGAAAAAGGCTCTTACAGTGGAGGGGAAATGCGACAAGGTAAGAGGGAATGAGTGAATCTTATTCTCATAGGATTTGACTTAAGGAGGGAATAACATACACACTCAATTGGGTATGGAAATCTGTCTTACCCTACAGGAAAATGGGGGGAGGGATGATAGAGAGGAGGGCAGATTGGGAAAGGGGGTAATCAGAAGCAAATACTTCTGAGGAGGGACAGGGCCAAAAGAGAGAATAGAGTAAATGGGGGGGGGGGATATGACTAAGGGAAATATAGTTTTTCACAGCATGTCTACTATGGAAGGGTTTTGCATAACTATATATAACCTATACTTAGTTGCTCGCCTTATCAATGAGGGTAGGTGGGGAGGGAGGAAAGGAGAAAATTTGGAACCCAAAGTTTTAAAAACACATTTGAAAAAAATGTTTTCACATGCAACTGGGAAATAAGAAATACAGGAAATGGGGTACAGGAATCCATCCTGCCCTACAGGAAAATTGAAGGGGAAAGGGATAAGAGAAGGGGGGTAGAGATAGAAGGGAAGGTAGACTAGGGGAAGAGGGATTCAGAATGCATGCCATCTTGGGGTGGGGGGAGGGGCGAGATGGGGTGATAATTTGGAACTCAAAATCTTGTGGAAGTAAATGCTGAAAACAAAAAAAATAAATTAATAAAATTTTTTAAAAATAGACGTAAAAAGAAGGGAGCAATAGTGGCAAAACAATTATATAGCTTTTATACTGTCTATAAACATTTACTTCAGTCTTGGTACTCTAAATGTGAGAACTTTATCCAATGTTCAACAAGTAGCCCCCTCAATACCTAGTGTAGTGCTTTATGCATAATGTATTCAACAACATTTTTGTTAAATTATTGAAAAACAATTTTCACAAGTAAAATATGCAGACATACACATTAATAAAACAGAAAAACATGTGGAGTCAGCTAAAACTACAAATAAATATTAGTCACTAATTGCACACTAATTCTTCAAAGCAGATACTGTACTATGATGTACAAAAAGCAGTAACATACATAGAAACCATTAATGCAATCCTCACTGAATATTCATTAACAATATAGTCCATGTTGAGTCTTGAAATTTAGAGATATACCTAAAACTAGAAGAAAGTCCAAAGAGGAGCAAGGAAATACTTTGCTTGCAAGATTGAAAAATAATTTGTAATGAAAGGTTAGATGAATTGAAATCATAGATTCACATATTTAGAGCTGGAAGGGATCTTAAGAGATCATTTAGTTCAGCCCCCTCATTTTCATATTAAGAAACTGAAGCCCAAACAAGTTCAGTGATTGTCTAAAGTGACCCAGGTACTAAGTGGGATGAGCCGTAGAACTGTAAATTCTAACTCCAAATCCAGCCCTCTTTCGCTATTCCACCCTGAATTACTGACCCAAAGTATAGTATCTCCAAACTCTTGGTCTTTGAAACAAATAATAAATTTTGAAATAATGTTCATCTTCAGGCAAAAAAAAATGTGCTAGTATCAGGGTGGGGGGAATAGAAAAATAGATATGAATATGATTTAAGTGAATCAGTGTTTATTCTCAGATAAGAAATTCATAACTAAGAATACTCTTCCTCAGAATGCTCTGAAATGTGTAAGCACACCTTAAAATTGAGTCTGTCCAGCACCTAAATCATTCCTATTAGTCTACATTTACATTTTCTGCTTGAACGCAAAAATAATATTTCCTGACCCCTTAAGTCATTACAATTCTCCCCGTGCTGAGATAAAGTGCAATAGAAAAAGGACAGTTCTCTTATTTTACTTGAAATTGGCACGAGAACATTACAGAACAAACCAGAGAGAATACCTTTAGTAGTGGTCTTGTAAGAGCTAGGAATAAATGAAAGTTTTTGTTTGTGGTTCTTAGTGTGGGGTATCTGACCTCAGCAGAGAAGCCTAGGGGGTCAGTTTGTAATTTAAGCACGTTTCAAACTCATTCCCTTAAGTGAATATTCAACTACTACTGTCTACTAGCAGATATAAACTATAATTGTAACCAAAGAAACCGGCCAGTATTGAAGCTAGTCTCACTAAATTTCAGACACTTTGTTAGAGTCTTCTAGACCCATACTTTTTTTTTAAACTGGGGTGTTCTGCAGGCTACTGAAGGACCCACCCTATTCATCCATCGCATAGATTATTTTCTTTTGAACCTCCTCCTATCTTTTTAGTCCCAAATTGAATAGAGACTGGACCTGTGATTTTCCTGGTGTCGGAACTCCACTGGTGAGGGAACTCCCTTTAATAAAGCAGGTCGGCACCTTTCTCTGCAATTTAGGAAGTTGCCCAGAACACAGCGAGGTTAAGTGAGTTCATAGTCATAAAGTCAGTGTAGGTCAAAGAGGAAGCTTGAACTCAGATGTTTCTGCCTCTCTCTAGTCATTTCCCCTTGCAGCGTTCTCACTTATCTCTCACTTATTTTTTTTTTTAATTGCAAAAGAAAAACGGGGGAGAGGAAGAGAGAGGAGGAGAGAGAAACAGAGAGGGTGATGGAGATAATCTGAAAATCTGGCCATATCCATTTGCCCCTCCTGACTCTTCCACCAGCACCTGCACCCAGTAGTGCCTCCTGAGACCAATAGATACCTCGGGCGCAGCTCCGGGAGAGAAGGCATGGAAGGCTGCGTTGCTAGTCATCTCAAAGAGCCTAGAGCAGGTGGAGGCGGGCCGCGAGCTAGCCCCGCTGCTGCCGGGGCCGTTACTGCTGCCTTGGCTCATGCTTGGTGAGGACGCGAGCACGCGCCGCCTCTCCAGGTATCCGGGCCCTCGCTCTGAGCTCGAACCTCCTGCCCGGGGTGTTGCTCCGCACGCGGTCTGCCCTGACCTGGGAGTCTGAGGGTGAGGATTCTATCACCTAAGAGCCGTCTCCCCTAGCGACGCGTAAACATGCGGAGATCTGGGTGGAGGAGTGCGAACTCCTGTCAATTCTCGCGGGAAAAGTGAGCAGTGCCTGTATCCCCGGGAGGAAATGCACCAGCTGGCAGGCCTGTAACCTTGAATTTTTGGCCACTGTGGGAAAAGGTCAACAACTCCGCGAATCCCTCTCGGGAGGCTCTTAAGGCGGTCCAGGGACAGTGACCACGACAGTGGCGGGGACTGGC